CACCACAGCACTACGTGTGGGGCTAGTTTGTGGATTGGTGCATGAGAAAAGAATACTTGAACATCTTCCCCTGTCTAAAAGGCTCACTAATTGTCAATAATTCTCACGTCAGTTTACTTATAATTATCACAACATCATAACAAACTTGTATGCCGTCTATCTCGTTCATTTTGCGATATCTTTCTCACGAAAAAGAAAAAGTTCTGAGGCAAAATTACGAGAGCAGCGCCGGTCGCTATCGTTTATTGCACGTGAACAATGCTTCAAAGGTCAACCACAAGTTTCCTAAGCCGAGAACTCCAGAGCTTCCGGCTGACGGAACACTGGCATATGCGCGCAATATGCACGGTACGCCCGCTGGATTTGACAGTCCATTTTTTTCCTCCAGGTCTAAGCATAGCCGTATTTGTTAGAGTGGCGTTTCACTGTATTGACAATAAACATCAAACCAAAGGTTGTGTTTGTGAACAAACACATTCCCAAAATGTTTTTATTGTCTATTGATGACTGTCAACGAGTATCATAACTTTATAATGAATTGGATTATCAATAATAGCCAAAGTGGCATGAATAACGAAAAACCAAATATCACTGCAATTGAACGTATAATGCATGAGATATGACGATTTATGTTAAAATACAAGTTCTGGTCAAACCGGAAGTAGAGGTCACACGAGGTCAAGATATCAATTTTCATCTATAACACGTCCCTGACTATGTGCATACCAAATTTGAGTTAACTCAGTCAATATTTTATTAGTTAATAAACTGTAAAGAAATTTTGAATCGAGGTCACGTGACCCCTGATGATGTCACGATTACAAACAGTTTCGGGGCACATCTTCTTATTTTGGTTAATTACTATATATATTAAGTTTGAAATTGATTGGACTAAAAGTTCATGAGATATGAGGATTTTTGTTTTCAAATGCAACATCTGGTCAAACCGGAAGTAGAGGTCACATGATGTCAAGACATCAATTTTCAGCTATAACACGTCTGACTATGAGCATACCAAATGTGAGTTAAATCGGTCAAATAGTTTACTGGTTATTAGACTGTAAACAATGAACATTTGAATTGCGGTCACGTGACCCCTGATGATGTCAGGATTCGTTTCGGGGCACATCTTCTGATGATGGTTAATTACTATACCAAGTTTGAAATTGATCGGAATTAAAACAATTGCCAAAGTGCCCCTTAGAAAAAAAAGCGGATGAAGAAAAAAAAAGAAAAAAAACTTTCACGATTACAAAAGCCGTTCCTAATCGAGATTAGGAACAGCTAAAAAATACAACGATTACAAAAGCTGTTCCCAATTGAGATTGGGAAAAGCTAATTTTAAAAAGGTGCTTGGAATTTTCATTTTCAGGTCATCCACATGTGGCCACAGTGAGTCCCTAACTGCTGGGGGAAAAGTAGATACCTATAGACCCCTCTATCACCCTACTCTTACTTTGGAGATCTTTCCACCAGAGAGGTGATCTATTTTTATTCTCTTGGGTGTGTGGGCTGTCTGTTTTGTTTTGAGCAAGTTATAAGATGCATTCTTTTAACACTTTCCCCGTTTAATTTATCCACCCGTTGCGGGAGAAATTTTGAAAGTTGTTATTTTGGACCATGTGGAGTATATTTCTGATTCTCGCACACGGCATTAGCATAAAAGACATCTTAAACAGAAGTGGTGGTAAAAGATAAACGCACGTTGGTGTTTGATAGAAATGAAAAAGCTTTGGAAAAAACGTACCATCGCCCATGCTTTGTTGGAATCGAAGGGAAGACGGACTCCAAGATGAACGGGATGTCTAATGCCTGCGCCAACATCGGGACGCAAGGTATGCAGTCGTCTCCAACAAGCATGTCAAATCTCTCCTCTTGTAGACGTTTCATGGTGGCTGAATCGGAGAACAAAGAGTCGCATTCTTGCAGCCACATGTCCAATGTGTTTGACAACTTGCTGCGTACATCTTTTTCAAGGAAGAACTGAAAACCAAAGAAATTCAACTGCCCTGCCAGGCTTGCTTTAGACAAATTGTCATCCGCGGCAGACCAGTTCTGTTTGGTGTAGGACGAGTTGAAGGCAACCACGGACAACAAGTCATCATCCTTTTCCCAAAGGCTGGTAGGATTGGAGCTGCTCACAAGGGAGACAACGCGATGACTTTGGCGGGCCAATGCTCGGGCTGACTCGCATAGGTTAATGTAGTGACTTCCTCCGGCGACAGAGGCGAAATACAGGAATTTGTACTTTTCCGCGCCCGGCGTTTTCCCCATGGGGCTGCTAGGATCCGGCGAAGCAAACGAGGACGACAAGAGGGAAAGAAATAGAAATAACAGCGACATCGTAAACGATTTTTGTCTGAAGCCCAAGAAAAGAAAAATGTTCTGTACAAACAAGTTCGTTTTCCTTATACTGATCTATGATGAGACACCCTAATTCTTCTGCAGCAGTTCTCGTGAGGGCGTCGTGCCTTTTCTACTGTATTCAATGTGTTTCACTGAGTAGACTTTGTGCCCAGTCGTTAATGGGTTTAGTTCTGCCCTCCAAGCGCAACTCACTCAAATGCACGCGTTGCGCAGGAACGTTGGTTGCCTCGTCCCCAACTTGCGGATGGTAGAGCATCGAATTACCAACTTTGATAATTCATTGAAGATTTGTAAAAAACAAATTGGAATCGACAGCCAATTCTATGCCAACATTTTAAGTTGTTCAGATTCCAGAGGGGATGTAAACTTAAAGTCAAAAACGAATGGTTTATCAACCTTTAAAAGGTCAAAGCAACGTATGCAATTTCAGTAGCTTGGTGTTTCAATTACCCTTATTTTCAACTGTTGTTTTGTTACTTTAAAAGGTATTTAGGTGTTTCATATTCATGCAAATTTCCATGTAGGTCTATATGAGTAAAATTGCGACGTCTTCCTGGGAGAAAACCTGCATGTTCCAATGATTGTAAAATTATTCTTCCACGATTTGTTTCTTCGATGATTCATTTTTGAGTACACAGCGGTACGCCTACGAGAAAACCTCTCAGAAATTAATGTTTTCAATAAGAAAACTTTTGGTCGGAACAAAAAACCTTTTTAGCAGTGTCTTCTCTGATTGACTGGCAAAATGTGTCGGTGAAAACTTCTTGGACTGAACCCGTTAATTATGATATATCTCGATCCCTTCTCGTCATTTTCCTTCATAGCCAATATTACTTTTGCCACGCCCCCCATTTTAAAAGCCACCAATTCAATCCCTCCCCCTCTCTCCTATTGTTGGTGACCAAAGCAACTGCGCCAGTGATTACATCGGTTCCATGCCGTCACAGTAATAATGACAATCATTGACTTTCTGAGAATTTTTGGAAAAATTCCACCAATTTTGATCATCTGACGGGACTAAAAGAATCGTTTGATTGGAAACGAGACTGGTTTTAAACTCGCATTCATTGGTAAGTTTTGTAGAAACCCGTTACAAAAGGCCGAAGTGAGTTGATCAATTGAATCTTAACATGTCTACACTACTTCCAATATTTGCGCACTTCATTTCACGCACATCCCATAAGGGGCTGTCTGCTGAGCAACACGCCTTGCCTGGCTACTGGCTCAACATATAACGCATCACGCACGGTGGCACCGTCATTTGTGATATGATCAAGGTGTCAATTTTAAAGAGGAGATTCAAACCTAACAGATTATACCTCCCTTTGATTCTGTTTCAATTAACAATAAAATCTCGGTTTCTTTTATTTTCCACCATAGACAATTTATTTTTTCTTTCTCTGTCGCCTGATTTGAAGGCAGGGGTGGGAACTATAGCAGGAATAAAAAGAATTTACACAGCAGCTGAACCAGACTCTAAAGCACATGTATACTCAGAAACTATGGAGAACCTAAGCCACCAACCACTGAGTAGAACCTGCCTGAGCCTGCAGTACTTAGACATTGGGCTGAAAAATTTTAAAACCTACAGTGTACATTGTAATTTAATTCCGTTAAGTGAATGTACGTGGAATGTTTTCTTATCAACACGTTGAAAATGAAGGGGTTTGGAAATTCAGTTAAGCCTGATTGTAACAGATCAACATCACTGAAAATGATTTGACAACAAATCGACCTGCTTGATTTCTAAAATATACTGCAGTTGCCTGGAAAATTCGACTCAATCAATCATCACCTGACCCCATCGCAGTAACGACCCAATCGCAGTATTATTCCCTTTAACTTCATTTAGGTCAGGCTGCAACACACACAAAAATTACTGACATTTAAACATACATGTTAGTGCACTTTGTACAGGTGTACACTCCTTTACTTCCAGCAAAACTACCAGATAACCCACGGCTAATGAGCTCACCAAAGTCACAGTTCATCCATTGATTTTGAGTGCATCAATACACGTACATGCCTCACGTGAGCATGGGGCGATAGAGAAGAATATCACAGATTAAGACTACAATGGAAAGCAGGTAAGATGAGTATAGTTAATACAACGTCATGTTTACACAACGACAATTTTAGGTACCTAGTCCTCTTTTGTGTTTTCTACTTGGATTACTGATAATACAAGGTACTTGTTTCAAATATAACAAGATGAACTGTCTCGAGGACTTTGTTCCACATTGTAAATGCATCCAAAGACAAAACCTACTGGAGGTTTACTAACTGTTGAAATTACAAAAACACGTAATCCGATTTTAGAAACGTAAAGATTTTACTCAAAGAATTACTGAACCAACATTTGCCCAGTTCTCTTCCCTCAGACACCTGTCACGATATCTACAAGTTTAAAGAAAAGAATCAATTCATGAAGCCCCATCCCATGATGGTCTGACCAATGGCAGTCCTGTTATGCAACCATAATGTCTGCAACGTTCTCTGTCATGCAGGCGAAAATTGTTGCTATCAGAAACCGATTGACCTCTTAAGTGAACTTTAATGAGGTTCTTTTTCATATCAACATTAACAGTTGCTGTAGATGTACCGACCCCTGTTATGCGATGAAATAACGCCAACCACGTCTGTTTTGTGTCTATGGGCCACTGGTCACTGCAATGGACGTGCGCCAAAAACGACTGTTTTGTGTCTATGGGCCACTGGTCACTGCGATATGGACGTGCGCCAAAAACGACTGTTTTGTGTCTATGGTTCACTGTTGACGTTGACTTCTGTAGTGTCCTTTAGATAGAGATATGCAACATACGAGATTTCTGTCCTCTCACCCCTCCGTCCACGGCACCTTCCAACATGATTTTGATGAGACGGATCCCCTCTCCGACATCGAATACAAATTACTCAGTTGACATATTTTATACATCTTCAAGTTTAGAATTGAAAGCACTGCAAAAAACTTCCTACGGGAAAATGTTTTGAAAAACAATTCGCGTACATAAATCAAACATTTAAGAAAGTCCAAGGGTAGGCTAAAACTTGTACACGTGCAGTTATTTCTGCATACGTATGTGCGCCGTGTTTACCATGTGAACAAATGTTAGACTTAGTACATTGACTTTGAGGAGAAAACTATTAAAGGCCATGTATGAATCAACTACATGCAGCTCTATCTGGGCAGGGATGACGCGACATGATCTATTACAAGTGCTTGCTGCCTGTCGCTTTGGTGGGTAGTTATTTTAAGACGCAGCGTATCATTTGGACACAGCCCGGGTGCCCAGCATACATGGCGTCAAACGAAAAATGTTGGACTCGCAATGCCTTTACGGGCTACTGAAGCCACCTGCAGCCATCTTACCAGGCCGAATACAAGGGAAATATAAAGGATAGCTCACCATTGTTAACCAAATTGTTCTTGGAATTAATAGCAGTAAGCGAGCCAACCACTGTCTTTGTATTCGGTATGGTAAAATGGCTGCCAGAGAGCCTAGATTTTTTGTTTACGTCCGTAGGCCTTTCACTGCAATTCCTATGATCAAGGCCTCTATAGTTTAGAGTGAACCCGATTGACAGTGGTTCACTTATGGCCATCCCCTTTACAGAAGGCTGGCACAAGCGAATTCCGAATGTATGACGTTATTTTCCCAGCCTTTATTAAATGGAACTTTAAAAACAGCATGGGTCTACACCTCAATGTACATGTACACAAGTATACATTTTTCGTTTTTGATGTCCCAAAGTGCACTTAGTGCCAGTTACAGAATGATTATAAGTGAAAAGACAATTAAGATGTAGGGTCAGTTTTAGGGGTGGGAGGACAACAGTGGACAAATATTCCACAAAATGAAAACATGGAATCAGGTAGGACTGAAAACCCAATCCAATAAGTTTGCATTAAGGCAGCAACCCACAATGCCTAGTGCCATCGATTATCTGCACTTCACAAATTTTGTGACAGGCAGTAGCCTATTGCAGTTTCTCTGTAGGGGTGATAGGGGAATCTTAAAAATCAACAGCATACATGTACGTAACGTGCATGGAGCTTCTGGGCAGAAAACACTGAAGTTAGAATTTTAAAATCTCATAGCATGTCTCAATTGATACCCATCATCACATGGTCGCTAGTAACCCTCATAGTTGACCAAACACTGTAATTGAAAAAGGCCTGTGTCAGGCAATACTACGAATTAACAAAATATTCATGTACATAGATATAAACCGATAGACTCTGATACTTTTTCAGTCTAGAGGTCCTTGATTGATATTTTTTCAACCAGCATCCAGATCCCAGCACTGAGTCCAACACAACTCAGCAACCAACTTGTAAAGCTGCTTCCAACAAGAAAGAACAAGGCGTTGAGAGGTGTCAGAAACACAACAAGCTCCACATTCAGTACATGGTCACTGATGACCTGATGCTGTACAAAAGTGACGAAGACTGGCAGGGTTGCAAGGAGAAGGAGGGCCTCAAAAAAGGCGAGCAGACTTATTCCAGTCACGAGAAGATCACTATGAAGAACTGTTGAAGAATAAATGCCGAAGAGGCAAGCACCAAGGACAATGCCTGTTCTGCGTTTTGGTGCAAGGGAGGTGAGGATCTCAGGGTCCTGCTGGAGATTGAGGAGTAGTAACGCACAGCCTGAGTTCCAGATCTCCCATGGCTGAAGAGGGCAGTTGAGACATGCCAGAAGGTACGCCAAGATGGTGAATACATTGCTGATGGTGGAGACTTTATTTGGAGAAAACCCGAAAGGGTCCGTGCTTTGTATAAGGAAACAGTACAAGCGGAGAGCAAAACTTAGCAGTAAACTAGTAGCACAATAGAGACGTAGACATGGTGTTCGGAAATCCTCCAAGAGACTAAAGTTGGCTCCAGCTTTTTGACTCAGTTCAGTGATGTAAGTTACAGAGGCTACGATGGCAAGAAAAAAGACTACCGGCTTGAGAAGAGGTTGCTTCCTGACAGCCCGTTTCGCTGTGAAGTTTGCCCAAAGTGAGAGAAGAATGAAGGCGCAAGGTGTGCAAGACAGGGTGTACTGCAACAGGGTGAGCTTGCTGGGCATTGCAAAGAGAACATCGGAGGCTTCTGCTCCGGATGCCAGACCGACGATGACTGACTGGAAGAACACGGCAAAAAGGCTCTGATTGGCAGACACGATTCCTAGGATGGCAGCTGCAACAAGAGTACCAGCCAGCAATGTCAGCCAGCGGCTAAATGCATGCCAGTCAAGGGCACTGGATGGTTGTAAGATAAACGCTAGCCCAGAGGCAGCAAGGCAGAGAAGATTCACTCTGTGGGCTATGGCTACATGGTGCAAATGCTGTACACTCAGTTTGAGGCAAACAGTCCCAGTTAATGCCACTATGAAGCAAACTGTTTGGACCACGGTTAGTGAGTTGTCAAAAAGCATGTAACTCAGAGGCTCAATCAAACTATGAAAGCAAAGCAACAAACTTGCCAAGACGCTTACAACATAACATAGAGCACTGTTGTTGGAGATTTCTTTCTGATACTCAAAAAACAGTAGCTTAGTCACAGCCAGGGTAAAAGCAACAACTGGTACCCCAACAAAACGGCTGGTATCAGCTGGCCTCCCTGTCAGCAAACCAATAAAAAATGGTAACTTGGAAGCATGGACTGCTGACCCAACCCACACACCATACCAAAAGATGATGCCGGCGGATAATAGCCTCACTAGCAGATACGTGCTAATGACACTTGTGCATGACATCAGCAAGATGGAGTACATTTTCTGTTCACTGAGGTACAATTCATTGTAAACCATCCCTGCCATGAATGCTATCAACAGGGTTGTACACAGTCTGCGATTTCCTGCACTGCATGCAAGGAAACAGGCAACAGAGAGCAGTGCATTCATGGTAAGTCCAAACCCAACAATACTAAGGTTTACACTTGGAAGTGTCAAATGCCATGGAATACTGTAGTGCACGGCTAGAACATAAATACACAACACTGCCAAACTACACAACATTTTAAACATGTGACCAATTTGCCCCTTTTGGGTGGCTGTCCAGCCAAGTAAAACATTCCCAAGTATTGTCACTGAGAGCCAGTGAACAAGCAAGGAATCTTGTGTCTGACTCAAAAGTATCCACCCAAAAAACAAGGATGCAAGTCCAAAAGCCCATCTTGACCACACGATATACCTGTGAGGAATACCATAGCGATCAGACCAGGTTCTTATTTCTAGAAGAGTCATCAGGAAGCAAGGTAAGGTGAATAACAGTAGAAGCTCCAAAATGGTGATCAGGCTAAGCAGGTCCCAAACATTCAAAATGATGAAAATCTCAACTGGTGCTGATATGTATAGAATCAGGAGGAGGGAGACTTCGGCGTGACCGAGCACAAAGACATCAGAGTAGGATCCCATGTTCCTCTTACGAAATGATGGCGGTGAGGGGGTTACAAAGAGTCTAAGCACAAGGAAGCCATGAATGATGACACTGTAGGGTATGTAATGAGACCAGGTAACCATTGCCAGGATACAAGTGAATACGGCCACTGACACGGTTGGAAAGATCGTGAAGAGAGACAGCTCTATGATCTCTGCTAACGACGGTTCCTCTTTCAGGAATTCTTCAAAGTGAAGCAGAACCCATCCACCTGTCAAGACAACTGACATGTTCAGGAGGAGGATGGTGATGATGTGGTATATGGATTCCCACACCAGTGGCAGGGCTGAGTAGATGGTGCTGACCTGCGCCGCGATAAACACAAAGAGGAAGGCCAACACGGCTCTTCGTCTGGCACCCCCACTCTGCATGAAGTGGATGATTAGCCCTCCAGTCACCACCACGCCAAGGAGCAGCTCTCCAGACAGGGCTAAGGCTAAGCACAGCCCCGGTAGAGAAACAACAAACACTCGACCATCATACTGGAATGATCTCAGCTCAAACCATTTTGGCAGTTCCCTGGGAGAGGGAGTAGGTGTTGAAGGAGGACTGGATTCAGCTTGTGAAGGTGGCACTTCAAACGTTCTCTTCATGGCGAGCAGTATTACTTCCTAAAGGGAAAGTAAGAAAAACAGAATAGTAGAAATGATACTGAAATGATAAAGCAATGTCTGCTTGTCTCTTGTTACCAGCCCAAAAGACAGCCATATTAGATGCTATACAAATGTGTGCAGATGCCAAACATATGTCTCTTTGTACATGTGTGTGCAACGTCTGTGACAAACATGGCTTTCAAACCTTTCCAATCTCTATGCTGTGTATTCTTTTAGTTAGATGAAATAATGCAGCCTCCTGGCCTACATGTAACGAGTTCCCTCACACGAGAATTTTTCCCAGTGATAATTTCCCTGTATTGGAGTCATGCCCTAAGTTTCACAGGGAGTAGATTCCCATGCACTCTATACATGTTCAATCCTACAAGTACTAATACTTGTAAATTTTCAAATGTACGTGTACTTCAGAGCACCAATTACAAAATGTACGAGTAAAATATGAAGACAATGTCCTCATTTTAACTCCCACGATAAACCCTTCTATGACGTACTGATAAATTTTGCTAAACTTTGTTTAAAACACTATTTTATGAAAGTGGGTAGTTATAAAGAGGAAAAACATAATGAAATAGTCTGAACAAATTTACCTTGAAACTCCAAAACACTGTCACAAACTAACGTGAGGTTTATTGATATTGTTTCAGGTGTTGAAAGATAGGAATGCTAGTCCACGGCCGAAATTGCGCTTCTAATTTTCAGTCACAATTATCTCACTCTCAGACAGAATTTTACGCTGCCTTATTCCTATACATATACGTACATGAATTAGATGATTTCACATGAATGGCTACTGTTTTTAATTCTCAGGCCCTAATTATGGGTTTATATCTTAAAGGTTTCTCCCACTCCACCTGGAAAATCAAAATAAAGTCATTGTGCACTACATTCATTATTAACCTCCACAGAGCGATGTCATACATGTAGTTCAATTAGTCAATCAAAAGAAATCTGGTACCTATGTGTTATCTCAAGAGGCAAACATCTCGAACTATTGATGGCCAATTTTGATTTGAAAGAGAAAATTCATCCATCTCTCCAATGCTGAAGTATTTAAAGGATGGGACTGTTATGCATCCGACACTATCTGACTATTGACAGTTAACCCACTGTACACACACATGCATAAAAAAGATGGCCATAAATACATGTACATGTAAATTAAAGATTCAAAAATATATGAATGTCTTCTTTCAAACACAATTACTGCATACATGCATGTACTTGTGTGGCCCCAGAGACGCAGTCCTGGCAGTAACATCATGGCCCATTTATTGGACTAATGTCAGTGACCGTACAGTTGTCAGGTCCATAATATATCGCCATTTATTATGAGAACAAACCAGATTTCACAATAGCGGGCAAAATCAGGGGCCTGATGAGTATACAGTTTAGCTGTTCATGAATGTTACATCATGACAGTCATCACGAGCAAATCACACATGATAATGTGTACAGTAAGGTTCAGGTGGCCTGCATGTAAGTGTGTAGAGACATGATAGGTCTACTACAATACTACTGTTAAGAAACACTAGTGTTAGCTTATATATTTGTGTGCGTGTGTTGGGCAAGATTAGTCGACCAGCATGATTGTGCTTTCACATTGCGCTATCAGTCAATCCTGTAGCCCCATCCGTTCGGCCAGAATATGGCTGCACTAAACTTGGCCACACGTCCACGTGAACAAATTTGGCGATACAGGTTGACCAGAAAATTGCTGGAATTTATGCCAATGTTTTATGGTGTTGGATGTATTGTATGATCTCTCCACTTGCACCAACCAGGTTAATTAGGTAATCTCACACCAATCTTTCGAGAAATTTAGACCTCTTTCCGGGTTCAACATGCACACAAGCAAACTTGAGTGCAAACTTAAGTGTCAAAATACAATGATCAAAAATGCTGGGGCACCTTTGGCAACCTCCACAAGGTGTGTTCAGTTTTTTTTGTAAACCTAAAACCTATATGTGCCCATCAGGTGACTCCAGGTGAATTCAGCTGAGTCAGCTCCCAGGCTGGACCTGGGCAAATCCAGTTGTCCAAGAGACAGCCTTTGCATCACAACTTTTTCAGGCTGTGTGCTTGCACTCGCACGAGTCATGCTGGTGCTGGCAAGATTAAAAGGGCAATTCGCTTACCATTGAGGTCATCAAAATTTGCTTATAAATTCAGTGTAAGGAAGACTTGGCGTCTTGGGCAGTATTACTAATTAGTGTCAACATACACAGTATCGGCAACATACTGTCACCACCTCAAAGACACGTTCCAAATTAAAAGAATCAATATTTGACTGTAAAGTTTTTATCAAAAGAATTGCCATTTCTTTGTTCACCAAAATATGGTCCTGATCCGAAGTTGGCAGCCATGTTGTTTTGAGGGCAGCTCGAACCATACCATCATACTAAAGGGGTAATGATTTTTTTACCATAAACCATCATAACACACGTCAGATCTAGTACGACAGAGTAGTAGTGAGTTGGTCCCTTACCGTTCAGAAAGTAAGTCTAACAGGGTCTGGGGTCTGACTGTCAGTGTCAGCTGGCCCCAAATTTCCCTTTTCTTCCCAAATGTGACTAAACCTCATGTTCATAATTGTAATCTCCAATGCTTACTTGATCCTAAGCCGGGCGCCTTAGACAGTTTAATTTAAGGACCATTTGGGAGGTGAATTTGGAAGATTTTGATTTGGGGTGCGGGCTACAATCCTGTACAAAACAGTTGGAACATCTTGTGGGAAGCGCAGTGATAAGATCCCCCTCTCCCCATTGAATGTTCGGCCCAACTTGTCCAATGATAAACAACATGGACGGGGGCAAGGGGGAGGCATGTTCCAACGTTATTTGTCTGCAGGATTGTCTCTAAAAAGTCATCCTAATAGGAAGCGCGTACATCCTGCTCTTAAAAAATGCTGCACGCACACGCGCGCTAACAACCGCAACGGTACATCACCTCAACTGAAAAAGGGAGAGTCACTCACATCAATTTTCTTCTTTCCCATGGTTCACCATTGCCATATTTCATCTGAAACCCAACCATACCAACCAGAAAGTGAAAAGAGGTCAGACAGAATTGTGTGCTCCTCATGTAACCATATACATGTAGCCCTTCAGAGCGAATAAAAAACTTCATTTGAGAGAGATGTGCTGAAATTGTATGTTGCATCGTTCACGATGCGCCCAACTTATGCCATTTTCAGTGGCCAACTTGCCTCTTGTTGCTGACACCTGCAAGCAGCAATCCCGTTTGCGCAAATTTACAGTGGACCCTTCCACCATATCCACTGAAAAAAATCCCGTACCAATGGGTGACCATAACCCATAGCTGTTGTATCACTAAATATACAGTACCGAAGTGAATACGTCACGCGCACAATTAGTGTGTAAAATGCATTAGCGCGAGAACCAGCGCGTGAACCAACACGCGCGCGTACTCCATTTGTTTGCACTGCACTTTCTGGTTCACAGTGACGTGACACTTTGGTAGTCTATAAAATAACTATGCATTTGAGGGCGCTGTTGATCAACTGCCGCCTGTGTATTTTAACTCCGTGTTCTGGTCATTATTAAATCCGTTTTTAGCTTTGGGTCTCGTAACCATCCTGTTTTAATCTTCGGAATATCTGTTTTATGGGTGCAAGTCTGTAGATTGGGTGAGTTCTGTGAGGTTTTTGATGCTTATGGTTGACTTTTAAGCCTCTTGGGGATCTTGTTTAACTGTCTGCACTGCAGCCATGGCACTTCGACTGATGTTATTACTTGTACTAGTGATGCTTACTCACACCTATAGTACACATCCCTGCCCATCACTGTTCGTGCGATCTGCTACTGCTGATGCTGCTATGCCATATCGATGTCGGGGACCCAATCGACGGCTTTTAATACACGTACCCACAGTCAGTTGGGGTAAGCATGGATATATTCGCCTAGCCATACCTGATGATGGACCTTCCATTGATGTGACTATATACAACTATGTCGCTAGGAACCCAGGCCCACATTCAACTGATAACTATCCAGTTAGAAGAAATGTGAAACAATCTGCCGATAATTATGGTCTCATAACTCCCAAATTTGTGTATTCTCGCAGACAGATACTAAGTATCTGCCATAATCACCGATCTGTCATTGATCCTCATATCCTTCATCAGCTTAAGACATGTGGACTTCTTGAATACAGAGATAAACGTGCTGGCAAACATGCCGGTCAACGAAGAATTCCCATTACCATCAATTATTTTTCGCAATGTCCAAGGGAGTTTTGACCAGAATCTACACACGCATTCAACTACGAAGCAGGCCCACGTTAATGCCCGTGCATTTTGTGCCGTTTCTAAGTCGTCAGTCTCCAGCTCATACTTCATCACTGAAACTTTGTACTGTGAATACACGCTCAGTGAAGAATAAATCTGCAGATTTCCTGGACTATGTCTTAATGAGTGGGGCGGCCATATATGCTGTAACAGAAACTTGGCTAACCGACTCATATGCTGTTCATAGAGTTGAAATCACACCACCAGGATTCCTGTTTGGAGATCACCCGCGGACTGGACGCACTGGAGGGGGCACCGCAGACCTTTTCAGAGATGGTATGCAAGTCGCTGAAGTAACACAGAAGGATTTCAGCTCATTCGAACACTCTGAATGGACTGTAAAGTATGGTGGTAAGACTCTGAAACTTGTAATCGTTTACGGACCGCCATACAGCCGAAACCATTTAGTTACAACTGCATCATTTTTGGCAGAGTTTAGCACTTATCTTGAAATTCTGGTGATGGCATCTCAAACACTGCTTATCACAGGCGATTTTACTATTCATATGGATGTAGTTAATAACTCTGATGCAGCCCAGTTTTCTGAATTATTAGTAACTATGGGTTTGCAACAACAAGTTCAACAACCAACTCATGGAAAAGGCCATATATTGGACCTTGTGATCACCCGCACGTGATGACTACTTCATCAATGAACCACCTGTTTCGGACTTTTTGTTTTCCGATCATT